GACCGGGCAGTGGCAGGGCTTCTGAGAATCCGCCAGGGCCAACGCCCGCTTCACTGGCCTGGGTCTGGGAAGGGCCTGGGTCCTGGGCCAGTACCGGTGGACTCCTGGTTCTGCACGCAGCCTTCCCTCCGGCCCCTCCTCCGCAGATGTTAACTTCAGTCCACGCTCACGTGAGGCAGCAGGAGCAAACGTCCTAACGTGTTACAGCCACGTTCACGTTGTGGGGGGTTGTGGGAAAATCTCACTGTGTTTCTCCCTCTCCATCATCCCGGTTTTCTTTCTCAAAGCCTCCAATCATCCATCTGTTGTATCTTCTTTGCTTGCTTGTAGGTACACTTCCTAATATTTAATTCTTTCTTTTTGTTTTGTGTACCATTCTCATGCCTGCCTGTGTCCCTTACCAGGTCTTCTGCTGTGCCCAGGTGCCCCGTGCTCATCCAGTTACGTATTTATTTATGTGACGGTTTTATTATTTTCTCCTGAGAGCTTTCTGCTCACGTTTCTTTCTCTCCAGTACTGGGGCCCGTCAGCCACCTTCCCTTAGTCCCTGGGTTTCAGCATCGTGGCGCCTACTTAGCGGTGATCATTTGATTGATTTCTTTCTTTCAATTCGTAGTAACCTACTGGATTTTTGCAGGTAGTGAGGGTTCTTTATGTGTGGTAGGAATCGCCTCTCTTTCTCGTATGATTCCTTACAGTGAGTCCGTATTGACTCCATTCTTCACATACGGTGCCTCCGTGGGATTCTGTTTCACTAGCCGCCTTGTCCCCCGACAAGGTCCAGGAGGGCCTGTGGCCCCTTCCCTGCTCCTGAATGCCTCACAGGTCACAGCTGCGAACGTCTTCAGGAGGGACATTTTTGCTCGTGCTTTCTGACATGTGCCAGCACCAGACACCCCCCTCTTCTGTGTGTTCTTTCTCCACACTCCCTCACGTGGCCCCAGCTTTCGCCTGACCCGGCCCCGTTTACCCTAACTGCGGCTCACAGACACTGCCTGCCCTTTGCACTTTCTGAACATGGACTTGTAATCCTCAGGCAGTATGTGTGGCTGACTCCTTCTGCAGCCTGCAGCCCCTTGGCCCTCGGCAAGGCCTCACACACACAACTCAGGTGACTGCATTGTGTGTACACACACACATCTATATGTACACATATACGTATATAATGTTTTACTTCTTTGCATCTCTGTGCTCTCTCTCTGGTAGCATATTTTAAAGCACTAATTATCTTGGTTCAATGTAATAAGGTTTTTTTTTAGCCAATCATGGTGTTTTTTATTACCAGATTTTCAAGTAATTTTTATCCATCTGATGAATGTTTTATTTTCATGTTTCTTTTTGCTTCATTATGCCTTATTTATTTCAAGTGCATGTTATTCCTTTATTTTTAACTTCCTGGAGTATCTGAAACATACACATTTCAAAGCCGTTGTTATGAGCCTCCCACAAAGTTAGCTTCATCCTGAGGAAATCTGTCCCCAGGGCTGGTTTTACTGAGTGTCCTTCTTAGCATCTCATTGTGTCACGTGTTTTAGGATTCTGTCTGCAGACGCATACGGAGCACCACTTCTTCTCTGTTTATTTTAGGTTTCCTTCCCTCTCCCTACGGCTTGCCCTCCCCTACAGCAAGTTTGCAAGCGCGGGGGCCTCTCCCCGCCCAGGTGTGGCCCCAGGCACAGGCTGGCCTCCCTGCTCCTCTCCTGCTGGAGCTTTCAGGACCCACTGCCCCTCAGGAGCTGCGCTCTCTCCTGGTCACCTTTGTCAGATTCTGAAGATGGAGGCCACGGCCTGGGGCACGGGTCCTTCTCACTGCTTGCGTTTCTAGGACATGGTGATGCTCAGCTGCATCTTACCACTGTCTCTCCATGCACTTATCTGTCATTGCTGTGGGTCCGCAGCAGGGAGGTCCAGTCCAAGTGCCACCCCGGGGGCGGGGGAGGGCTGCTCTGATGGATTTCAGGAAGGGAGGGGTGACCAATAAAAAAAAGTCGAGGAAATCGTGCCATTTTTGACGATATGGATGAAACTTGAGGGCATTATGCTAAGTGAAATAAGTCAGAGAAAGATAAATACCCTATGATCTCACTTATGTATGGAATCTAAAAAAGAATGAACTCATAGCAACAGAGAACAGATTGGTGGTTGGCAGTGGCAGGGGGTGGGGTGTGGGGGAAATGGGTGAAGGTGGTCAAAAGATACAAATTTCCAGTTATACGCTAAACAAGTACTGTGCAGCATTGTGACTAGGGTTAACAATTCTGTATTGTAAATTTAAAAAGTGCTCATCACACAAAAAATAACCACGTGAAGTGATGGCTGCGTTCACTACAATTACTGTGGCATTTTGCAACATACACATGTATCTAATCATTACGCTGTACATCTTAAACTTACATAGTGTTATATGCCAATTATATCTCAATAAAGCTGGAAAAATTTTTTAAACAAGAAGTGGAGGGGACTTGGTTATTTCTGAATTTTAGGAAGATCCTTCTAGCTGCAGGGGGCGCAGACAGGGAGGAACCCGTGTCGGGGCTGGGAGCCCAGGGACAGCCAGGGTGGGGCTGGGGCAGCAGGGACGGCGTGCAGGGAAGGAGCATCTGGGTGCACGGGTCTCGCCCCGAGAGGAGGCCGCGGCAAGGGTGGTGTCAGGGCTTGAACAGGGCTGAACTCCTGTGCCGGCCGCCCCTCTGCGGGGCACAGGTTAACCTGGAGGGTAATCACCTTGGTCAGATGCTGCCGAGGCCAGGACAGTGAGCAGCACAGAAGAGGCCAGGCTCTGTCCTAAAGGAGGGCGGGGGGTTTGGGACAGAAGGGAGCCTCCAGGGCCCGGGCCAGGAGCCTGCGACGTGTCTGGACTTAGTGCTCAGCCCGGCGACCAGGTACCCGGCTGGCCTCTCTGAGCCCGTCCACTCGTCTGTGAGCTGAACGCTGGCCTTCCCGCCGCGCCCACCTTGCAGAGCTGCCGCGAGGCCACGAGAGAGGGGAGAACGCACAGTGAGCGCGGAAGGCTCGCTCGGCAGAGAAGTGTGCTTCCTGCCCCGTGTCCCTCCGACGTCTTGGGCGGGCACTGTCCCATCGTGTGGCTGAGCCCAGCTCCCTGCTCATCTCACAGGCGGCCGTGAGCTCAGAAGATGCTGAATGTGTGCAGGGTGTGTGGGCACCAGGACCTCGCCAGCCACTGCCCCAGAAGCCACCGTTACAACCCAGCCCTACAAACACTAGCTAACATCTCTTTACCAAAATCGAAGCCCCAGCCCGTGACCCCTGAGCTTCCGACTGGCTCATCTGGGGAACTTCCTGGGACAGCTGCTGCTGTGGCCTCAAGTGCTTTGACATAGATTCTTCACGAACGGGTCCAAAGGCTGCCACAAGAAGTCGCGTCTGTGCCGCCAGACTGCTCCTGACCCTCTTCTAAAAGCAACTTTAAGAAGGCCTTTTACAGCAGGACATGTTATAATTGCAAGTTCTATTTAAGTCATTACACATATTTACGCTAATTATGTAGTTAGATGCAATTATACTAATTGTATAAATGCACAATAATTGACTAAGATACACTTCGAAAGAACAAAGAGAATCCACCCAGAAACCCTTCCTGAATGTCAAGGGTGCAGCAAGCCCCGTGAGAGGACGGCAGGGTGCTCGTGGGCGCTTGAGCAGCGAGCTGGCCCCAGGCCCCACCATGCACACAGTAGGTGCTCATACGTTGCCACTGAATGGAACCAACGGTCTCTCTTGAGACAAAATTGGGCCTGGGGCCACAGAGGAGACGGGTTCCATTTCAGCCTCAGTGAGTGGGTGACTCTACAAATTCCCAGCGGGCTTTTAGGACCTATCAAAGGACGTTAATAACCAAGTCATTACCCAAGGAATTAAGTTCCATCTTGGCAGCCCACATGCAGGTCTTCCAGGGTCAGGCTCCGACGGCACTCTTTAACCCCGTGTCTAGAAATTCTCACACACACACACGCTACCCGAGATCCAAACAGACCAGACAGGCCAGCTGACCTTCTGGGGTGTGCGGAGTCCTTTTTCTCTTCCATGCGACGCCCGGGTGGTACCCTCCACCGGCCCTGCCATCACCCCGCCTCTTGTCCTTCTGCTGGACACCCTACCCGTCCCTCTGGTCCCTGTAATCATGCCTCTCCTCTGTAAAGCCTTGCGCGGTCCTTCCAGATAGAAACACAGCTCGCTCTCTCTGCCTGGATCTCCCACAGCTCAGAATTTGTAATTCTCTGATGACACCTGACTTTTTTTTAACCCAAATTCAAAGTCCTAGTGGCCATGCCTGTGTGTGCCAGTAGCTGTGGGCTTCCCTAGGGCCAGGACTGACCACATCAGCCCCATCTCCGTGTCCCCATCCTCAGCACAGAGCCTGGCATGGAGCAAAAGCATGCTGGATGGATGAATGGATGAATGATTTTTCTGGACAGCAGCACTTTGATAGAATTCTAAGGAGCTGGAGGAGCCCAGAGGGACCTCTTCTGCCTGCTGGGGGTGGGTGGTCAGGGAAGGCTGCCTGGAGGAGATAATTCCTGAAGGGAATCTTGCAAGATAAACAAGGGTTTGGTAGGGAGAGAAAAGGGGGCTAGGCAGGGGCAATCAGATGGAAAAAGGCCCAGAGGGGGTTGATTTTGGCCCCGGGTGGCTGAGCATAAACGCAGGAATATGAGGGTGTCACTTGCTGTGAACAAAAGTTCAACAAACAGCTTACTTTTAAGGCATTCGGGGTCCTGCTGTGCTGCCTTCAGAAGGGGGGCACGGGTGGGCAGAGAGGAGCAGGGCTGCTTTGGGACCACAGCACTGTCCCACGGACGGAGGGTCCTGAGGACAGGGATGGTGGTAACAGCAGGGCTGGGCCCTCTCCCCGCAGACACTGACTCAGGGAGACCTCCCAACAACGCGGCCAGGAAGGCAGACAGACTTACCCCTCCACCTCATAGATGAGGAAATAGACCCCGTCTGCCGCCCCGCCCCCCAGTCTCACCACTGGCAGCAGGCAGCTCGAGGATGCAAAACCCAGGCAGTCTGGTCTAGAATCTGTGCTGACGCCGCCCCCCACGGCTGCTCAGCAAGCAAACGGAGCGCCCAGGGCCCCGGGCGGCTGCGCCCCGGGCTTGTCGCGCGATCCCAGAGTGAGGCCCGTCCCCACCCCCTGCGCAGCCATGTCCTACGGCGGCCCCCAGCCCGCAGCCACCCACCTCGGGGTTCTCCTGGCTCGGGGGCCGGTCCTCCTTCTTCTTTTTGGTGGCCTGAGCTCCCTGAGATGGCTCCTCCGTGGGCGGCCGCGACTCTGCTGTGCTCTCGGGCTGCGTCTGCACTTGAGGCTGAATGATGATGACCTGGAAGACGAGG